TCGAAGATCTCGAAGCCGGCGATGTCCAGGACCCCTATGAAGTACTGGCGTGGCTGCTTGGTCTCCAGGGTGGCATTGATCCTTGTCACCATCCAATTGAACATCTTCTCGTACACTGCCTTGGCCAGGGCCCCGATGGAGTAGTACACCTGCTGTACGCTCTGCCCCTTGGTGACATATTCGTTGCCCACTTTCACCCGAGGGTGGCACAGCCCCTTGAGCAGGTCAGCTGAGTTCAGCCCCATGAGGTAGGCGGACTTGTCGGCATCTGGTGGAGAAGGAAAGAAGTAAGCAAGCACTTTCGGCAGACCCTCTTTCCCTGCTCCAGGGCCAGAGCCTTTCTGAAGCATTGGGTCCATCCGCTCTCACTTAAGAGTTGCAAATACAGGCCTGGAAGGGCACGAGGCTTGCCAGGGGGCACGTAGCCAGTGTGCAGAGTCAGGCTGGAGCCCAGGCCTCCTCGTCTGTCCGGAACCTCCCAACACCCAGCAGTTCCTGTCGTCTCTGTCTTTAACATCTGCTTGGTGTCCCTGGTCCAGGTCCTTCACCAGCATTGTTGTGAGCACGTTCTCATGTCTCCGGGGCAGGGACTGTGGCTGACAGAGATGTGCGCTGCTCCCTGCCTCCTTTGCTCCCATCCCAGGATCTGATCCAGGACTGGGCCTGTTCCACTCTTAATCCATGTGGTGAACAGCTTGAAATCAAGGTTCCTAACGGCATTTTACCCACCCCCCAACTCTCCATCTGTGCCATTCAACATATGATCTCTATTTAGAGAAAATGTATTTGATTCAATTTCAAGTGTTTTGTGATAGCTGATGACATGCTCTCATGAAACCCAGGCTTGGCATTTTGATCTGGATAGACACAGAAGGGGTCCTTGAAGGTAGGCTAAGAGGAATATTCTTGGGCATTTGTCTAGCTAGCCCTGTTCACACCTTGACATTTCCTTCTCTTAGAATTCTTACAACAGCCCCAGAGTGAGCTAGGAAGGACTGTTGTTCCATTTCACTAAGGAGGAAACTGAGGCCCAGGCAGGTATGCGACATATTAATGCCAAGCTATATCCTGACCCCTGGCCCTTACCTCCCAAACAGAACATGGCACAGGGCTTGAAAGGGGCTCATCCAAGGGCTGGGCATGCTCCACATACACACTGCATTAATGATCAGGATGTGCAGAGCTCTAGAGTTTGTGCTTTCCTGAGGTTGGGTGAGTCTTGGGCCCAGGAGGAGACATCCCAAACTCACTTCTGGTCAGTGCAGCTGGGGTTGAAGATTTGGCAGGATTGTGGGGGGTCTCCCTGTCTGCCCATCTCTCACAATCCTTGCCCCTCCCTGGTTCTCACCCCATCCATCTACCCCACAGGCCTCAGGTCCCCAGGAACCAGCCTGTCTGGGTGGCCTCTGACAAGGCTCTAACGAGGAAAAAGCCTGGAGGTAGGGCTGGATGGTGTGAGGGCCCTGCTCCTGGGAAGAGGTACTGCCCTTTGACCACGTGCTTCTCATACTTCTGGTTTCCTCCCACTTTCGCTGTCATGGTCCTAATAACCTTAATAAACTAGGTTGTCAGCCTAGCTCTTCAAGAATTGTTGAAAAGCACCACTTTTGGATGCAGCACAGGAGACCCTGCTCCCAGTGGACTATCTCCTCATGATAGGTGAACACCCAGCACCTCAGGCCTTTTCAGCACCTGCCCCCACCTTCGGTGCCATCTGGCTCCGCCTGCTCCTCCCGCTGCTTCTGCTTGAACTTCATGTTCCCGTAGTGCATGATGGCGCCTGTTAGCTTGTAGACTCCAGCTTTCTCCTCGGGAGTGAAGCCCAACACGTCAAAGGCGCTCTAGGACAGAGCAAGAGAGGCAAAGAGGATGGTTGGATTTGGTGGTGCAGGAACCCTCAGGAACTCTCACGCTGCCTCCTCACTCACATCTGTGGCCATGAGCTCCTCGGAGTCATCGATGGAGGCCACAGACACCTCTCCCTGAGACACGAAGGCGTAGTCGTAGGGGTTGTTGGTGACCAGCAACATGTCTGTCCAGGCAAGGAGCAGGGAAGGGGACAAGGGGACAGGAGAGGCCAGGGGATGGGCAGAGAGGGGTTGGGAGAAGGGCATGGTGGGGGTGGGGCAGGGACAATGGAAGAGAGGACCAGGAGCAGGGAGAGAGGAGGAGAGTCAGCAAGGACCATGCAGAGAATCCGAAAGACATGAAAAAGTAGGCAGGGGACTGGGGAGGGAGGACAGTGGGAGAATGACACCTGGGAGCAGGGGAGACACAAAGAGGAGAAGGGAAAACCAACCAGGAGGAGGAGGAGAAATATGACAAAGAAAGTGTGGGAAGAGAGGCGAGAGGAGTTGCAGGCAGATCTGAGATGGGGAAGGAAGAGAAGACCTGAGCAGACTGAAGGAGGAGGGAGGTAAACAGGGGCAGGTGAGGAGGAGGAGGACACCCAACCTGCCTGGGGAGGGCAATGGGGGCATTGAGGCATTAGGCAGTCTCACCCAGCAGCTCTGGCTTCTTGTTGGACAGGATCTGGTAGAAGATGTGGTAGTTCCTCTCAGCCTTCAGCTGGAAGATCACCCGGGACTTCTCCAGGAGATCTGAAGTGAGGAGAAGGGAGGAAGGCAGGTAAGGACGGGGAGAGAGTTGATCCAGCAAAAAGGTGGAGATTAGGGGAGAAATGCTCTTATAGCAAAATGGAGAGAGCCAGGGGAAGAGGAAAGATGGAGAGGGAATGTTGAGATAGGGTGGCCCATCTGGGAAAGAAGGCAGAGGCGGAAGATACAGAGGGGTGTGCAGGGCTCCCTGCCATACTCACAGGTCTCTATGTCTGCAGAAGCCAACTTTCCAGTGGCTCCAAAGTGGATCCTGATGAATTTCCCCTGGGGGTGGATGGGACAAAGAGTCAGGGAACTGGCCAGAAGGGACAGAATGGAGATCTTGGACCTCAACACAACCCAGAAAGCCCTGGGTAGTTCTGGAAATGTTAATGACCTATTTGGTGTCCCAGTTTACTTTCAGTAAAACAGGGGAAAGGATGCCTATCTCCATATTACTAGGTATCTCAGCAGAAACAACAACACGGGAATGAACACAGATACAATGCCTCCCGTTTGTACCTCTGATATGATCTCATTAATCCTTTCAGTAACCTGCAAGGTAAATATTGCTACCTCTGTTTCATAGATAAAGGAACTGGGACTTAGAGAGGTGTGGGGCCTTGCTGGGCAGGTGGGAAGCTGGAGAATTGGCTCCAACACCTATGATCTCTTCCCACTTTCAATGTGGAAGAGCTCTGGAAAAAAGTCATTTGGAAAATCTAGAATGTGACACAAATCAGCTCCATTACTTGGCTATGGAACAGCTATGGTGACTCTGGGGCTCTTTTCTTGAATTCTCAGACCTCAGGGAGCCAGGCTGAGTCAGGAGGGTTTGAGTGTGTGTGTGTGTGTGTGTGTGTGTGTGTGTGCACACCCACAGGCTGGTGCACACGTGCACGCTTGCTGATATCCCAAAGCCAAACTCAGGATGATCAACTGGGTGTAGTGACTGTTGACGAAACAGCACCCCCCCTTTTCTTGTCGAGGCCAAATGAGGCCAGTGGACAGCTGTCAAAGGCACTCACGAAGCGGGAGGAATTGTCGTTCCGCACGGTCTTGGCGTTGCCAAAGGCCTCCAGGGCAGGGTTGGCCTGGATGATCTGGTCCTCCAGCGTGCCCTGTAAAGGCAGCAGAACCCCGAGGGTTTATCTTCTGTCCACCTCCAGCAGTAGGGAGGACAAGGGGCTGCTCTGGTCCTGGGGAATGGGGGTGGGGCTAGATGGACTGCAGGTGGGTCTGTGGCTCCAAAGGGCCATATACAGACATCAGAGTGTGTATCTCCTTCCAGGAAGGTCTTTTTTTTTTTTTTTTTAGATTTTTTATGTATTTATTCATGAGAGAGAGAGAGAGAAAGAGGCAGAGGGAGAAACAGGTTCCCCGCGGAGCAGGGAGCCTGATGTGGGGCTCCATCCCAGGACCCTGGGATCATGACCTGAGCTGAAGGCCGATGCTTAACCGACTGAGCCACCCAGGCGCCCGTCAGGAAGGTCTTGAGCACTGGGCTCAGTAGTGCTGTCCCCACTGTTCCCCAGGGCAAGGCTAGGGGTCACCTGGATCAGCCTGCCCCCAGGTCCCCTCTGCTGAGCCTGTGGCCCACCCTGTACCTTGTTTGTACTGGCATTGTCCTTCTTGCCACGGTCACCTATGGCCGCGATGCTGGCAAAGTACTGGATGACACGTTTTGTGTTCACAGTCTTCCCTGCACCAGATTCTCCACTTGAGGCAAGAGGGACCCATCAGAATCCAAGATTTCCCCTATGCTCCATTTGGAGTTCAGCCCACTGCACCCTCCTCCCTCAGAATCCCAGCCTTCTAACCTCCTCCATCAGGACCCAGGGCCCCGCAGAATTTGCATATCATTGTAGGTCACTCCGACACCCCTCTGAGAGCCCAGCTCCCCACACTCCTTGCAATCACAACCTTAAACCTTTCCTCCCCTCTGCACCCCCAGGAATAGGCCTGGGTCCCTGCCAAATCCCTATGTGGGTGGATGGCATTTGCTCACGTGATGAGGATGGACTGGTTCTCCCGATCTGGAAGAGAAAAGAGGAGAGGCAACAGGGTCAGGTCCACCGGTACGGGGCTGAGGGGTCACAGGTCAGGGCTGCCAGACTCACCTGTCAGCATATACTGATAGGCGTTGTCAGAGATGGAGAAGATGTGGGGCGGCGCCTCGCTCCTCTTCTTGCCCCGGTAGGCGGCCACCACCTCTGCGTTGTACACCGGCAGCCACTTGTAGGGATTGACGGTGACGCAGAAGAGGCC